GCGGTTCAGGGCACTACAGACTCACTAGGTTGGATGCCCAGTTCTACTGTTTCCTGGCTCCCTGACCCCGGACAATTTACTTTGCCTCAGTTTTTTCATCGATAATGGAGCCGTTGGAGGATTAACTGAGTTAATACACGTCAAGCACGCAGCATGGACCCTGGCCCGTAGTAAGTGCCCAACAAATGTTAGATGTTATTATTGTTATTACTACCGTTAGGTTACGCCAGTTAGAACCTGCCAGCACGGGTAGGAGCGCACGCAGGAGGGCCGCTGAGGACAGCCACGCAGGCTGTGCACTGCACAACTCAGGGCACTGTCCATACAGGGGTAATGCAGTATACAACCTGTGCAGCTGTCCACCGGCCCTGCAGCCGGGGCAGCCCTACTGCAATTTCTGACTAATAGTGACACCTTAAGTTGGACCATTTGGGGCAAGGTCTGGAGAAGATTAACAAAGGAGGTAGTGTGGCTTTTGAGTAGAGCTACTCGGATTTGAATCAGGTGTGGCCTAGCCCTTGAGAAAGCCACGGGATTGAAGGAGCGATAGCCAGGATCTTGGCCAAATCACTCCTCTCTGGGACAAAGTTTCCCCCATCTGTTAGGTGTAGTGGGTTGGGTTAGTTTGGTGAAGGCAAATAGGCTTTTTTCCTTGGACGCCAATTGTGACTGATTGGCGGTGTCTGTCTGAGGCTTTGTAAAGTGAAAAAATTAGAGGCCACTTTGGGCTGGGTAGGAAGGGCTCTTTAATTGATTAGTGATGTCTGCTTGAGGTCAGGGTGAGGGAAGCTGTGGCATGTGTGTTTGGGGCCGTTTGCCCTCCTCACATTAGCCCAGTGGTTCTCAATCCTGGCTGCACCAGAGACGGTTTAACCACACTCTGATTCAGGGGTGTAGCACCTGGCATTGGTAATTTTTTCTAGAAAGCTTGGCAGGTGATTTTAATGTGTGGCCAGGTTGAGAGCTGCTGGGGTAGATGCCCCTAAGTTCCTTGCAGTCCTGAGCTCTGTAACTTCTCAGCATGGTCTATACATTATGGTGCTTTGAGCTCTCTCCTAGCAGAAATGCAAGGGGAGTTAAAAGGCTAGTCTTCCATCAGTCTTACTGCTGGAGAGGATTTGTCGTTAAGTTGGGAGACTGAGGTTGAAGGCACTGGCTGTGATCATGGATTGGGGTATCCAGGTGGCCTCTTCTCAGGCCACACTGTGGAGTTTCACCGGGGGAGGACTGGCTTTGCATCTGGTGAATCTCGGGTCTTGGAAAAGCCTGGCCCACTCTGGCTTCATTAGGGAAGCCCTGGGGATCCTTTAATTTCTCTCTTAAACTCCTCTCAGTCCCCAGGGATGGCGGGGAAAGTCGGGACAATGCAGAGGCCCACTGAGGTCTGCAGGAAGTAATATGCCCCAAACTCGTGGGGCCCCGCTCTGGGTCCTTGGAAGGAGCGCCACGGGGGAGAAGGAAGCAGATGAAAGCTGACTGGGGCCACTGGGCTGGAGAATGCAGGGTCAGGGCGCCAGGCTCGGAGGTGGTGCATTAGGACCACGGGCTGCCCTGGATGCTGACGGCTCCTCCAAATTACAGCCAGGGTGGCAAAGATGAGATGTTTCTGGGAGGCCACCCCAGCCTCAGGCCCTCGATGGGCCCAGAATCCAGCCAGCTTTCCTCGGCCCCTCCCATTACCCCCTCAGGACCCAGCCCTGGAATGCCAAGGAGCAGGTCATGCCAGGCTTTGCCTCCCACCCGGAGTAAGATAGAAGCAATCAAATAACATAGAATTCGATCATATTTTAAAATAAGCTTTATTTAGATTTTTTTTTTTAATATTTTATATTTGCATCCATGCCTTCGAGAAACCTTTCCCACGGGAAAGGTTATTTTCATCTACTGTTACCCATAACTCATTGGCTATTTGACGTAGTTCTCTTAAATAAATCATCCTTAGTAACTCTTAGAATTATCTCCTAATTTCCAGAAACTGAAATGAAAAGGAACTACTAAATCATTACCAGGAGGGGTTGCAATCTTATTTTCTCGTAAATAAAGGGCAAACAATAAAAATCAACCAAAAGAAAAAAATTCATGGGGGGCGAGAAAAGTATTTCCTAAAATATCTCTCTGTAGAGAAAGATGCCAGCTCCGGCCGCTCTCCCCCGCCGCCAGGCTGGGTGAAACGGCTCAGCCAAAGGCCAGAAAGATCCTTATTAGGTACCCTGCCTACTCCTTTCCAACCCCCCCATCAGGTCGGAAGGAAAGGGAGCAGCTGACTGGGGCTTTTCTGTTTGTTTTAGCGACTTTGGACAGAATATCCTATCCTTTCTGATAAGAGATGCTCCAGCATTTAAAATTCTCCTTGTTTCTTGGTAAGAGCTGAAAACGTTACTGCTAGCAGAAAGCGCAACTACTGTTGTTTAGGGGGTGTGTGAATTGAGCTGTTAGTATTTAAGGTGGTGCAGAGGGGGGGAATTCACAGGTTAAAAGAAAAGGGAAAGCTAGTTTTAGACTTCGGGAGGCCCTGGCTGAGAAGCTCACGTGTTCTCCATCACCCGGTGTTACAATGCTCACGGTTCCTTTGCCGGTGAAGCCTCACCGGGGCCAACACTGCTCTCCAAATAGGCAGATGTTCCTGCCAGCCCTTCTCTCCTCGGGTGAGCAGGCTCAGGCTGCTGTGACAAGTTGGAGGAGGGCCCGAGGGATCCCGAGAGACTCTGTGAGATGTGGCTGGAGGAACCAAGAGGAATGGGGAGGGCAGAGGTGCTGGTGCTGGATGCTGTGTCCCCAACAGGCCGCCCCTTGAGATGGGCGCCTCCCCCATGACACCTGCCCGGCCAACGTGCAGAATCAACGAAGGATGAGACACAGCTGCAGCGAGGAACGCGTGCCGCTCCAGGACCCTCGGGGAACCAACTCGGGCCGAGGGTCCCTGTGGTCGCACCCTGTGCTCATGCAGTCGGCTGTCTCGCCCTGTAAGCAGCAGCCTTTCTCAAAAGACAGACCCAAGAGAAGGTGACCACGACAGCAGGCACTCTGTTCACTGAGGTCAGTGCTCTGTTATTTCAGATAAATAAATATATATAGAAAGGCCTGGAGAGAGCTACAGGCAGGAAGAAAGGCGGAGCGCACTCCCATGCAGGGATGGGAGAATGGGGGAGAGAGAAGAAGAAAGAACGGAAAAAAGCAAGCTTGGAAGTCCAATGGTCCCTGGGTTCTGGCCACCCTAAACTCTACCTTGCACAGCTCGGCAGCAGCATGATCATAGAACAGACAAGTCAACAGAGAACCCGCCTCCCGCCCGACCCCCGTGGAAAAATATACATTCCAATATTTACGTAATAATTTAGATAGAATAAGTCTTCTGCTTTTGTGCAAATAAATTAAACGGAACAATTTTCTTTTCTTTTCTCCGTAAAGAAAGAAACGGCAACGCAATTTAAAAACTGGCAGGCCGTTAGAAAGAGCCCGTTTGGCCTCTGACAAACCGAGACAAGACAGGGCCCCCGGGCTGGGCTCGCAAGTCTTTGTGGAGAGTGGACCTTACCCTGATGACGATGGCGTTTGGGGGTTAAAGTGACTTGGGCGCACCCCGAGAACAGGGTCTGGTCCCACACGTTCACACCGGGGGGACGGGTGGGCGGCGGGGTGGAGTGGGGGGAACATCAAACACAGACTACATCCTCGGGGAGACGGGCTCCAGAAGTGGCAGTTCGGACGAGGGACATTTACAAGCACGGAGTGCACAATAGTTTTGTTATTTACAAATACACAGCAGTCCTTCAAGTTTTCAAGTTTCATAAAAAGGGAAGGGGGGAAGGGACCCAAAAAAAACCAAAAAACAACCCCAAAACCCCAACGAACCAAAAAGCGAAAAAAAAGAAAAATTGAAAAAAACAAAAACAAACCCAGATTAACAACACAACTGTATCGCTCCGAGGACAACAGAGAGTTGACATGTTCACACACGTTTGTAGTATGTACATCAATTACAGAGGTGGTGACGCCAGGGAGGGGCCCACGCGAGCGGGTCTCAGCCGCAACCGCTGCCCGCCCACGTGCGCGAGAGCTCCCACGCACGCGCACACGCACCGCCACGCACGCCCAGCCGCGCATTCCCCGCTCGCACGCACGTCCACACGCACAGACACGCCCGCCGGGCAGCAGGCGAAGGGAGGCGGGTATCACCAGTCCGCGTCCTCCTCTATGTAATAATCAGGGGCGGTACCATCAAAGAGGCCGGGGTCGAGGGACTTCCGCTGCTTCCCTCTGGCGAAGACACGCGAGATGGAGCCGAATCCCATCTTCTCTTTCTTCTTTTTCCGCTTTTGGTCTTCAAGATCCTCTAGTGACTGAGGAGCCAGGCCAAGTGATAGAGGTGCAGGAGAGAAGAACAAAGGCAAGCTGAGCTGGGGCAGAAGACAGGGAGGGGTAGGGGGGTGGGGGACGGCTGGTGGGAGGCACCAGGGGCTAAGGATCACAGGGTCTGCCCCTCACTCGCTGAGCGGACTTGGGCCAGTTACAGAATCTCTCGGGGACGACACTAGGACCCATCCAAGACTGTCATGAGGATGTTGCTAAAGTGAGGGTAAAAACGCTTACAACAGTGCCTGGCACATAAGCAGCATTCATAACGGCTGCTTGTGGGGTTTGTACTATCATTTAAATTCAGTTTGCCTACAGCCTTCCAGTGCTCGTGGAGGGCTTGCAGAATCGCGTCCACGCATGCTGCCACTGCTGACCACAGGGCCCATCTGGAGGGGGCATCGCAAGTGTATTAAGTTCACTGCGGAAAAAGTCCCCTTGGAAAAGGGGGCATAGGAGAGCCAGGAAAACCAGGAAGGAGGAAATCTGACCTTCATGTCAGCCAAGAGCAAGGACTCCAGACCTTAAGGCCCTGGACAAGAAGCAGGACTGGCCTCGGTAGAGTGGGGAGGCAGGGGTTTGGGTTCTAATCCCAATTATGTCACTACCCACGGAAACGTGGAGAGCCCCCAGCCTCTCTGAGCCCAGGGTTCTCGTCTGTGACATGGGGGGATTGTTAATAATGACAAAGACAGTGATGATGATGATGATGATGATGATGATGTGGAGGAGGTCTTCCTGTTGGGGTAACTACGGGACTGGGGTGGTGTCTGCAGGAGAGCTTTGCAAACTGTCAAGTGCTTTATGCAAAGATGCAGAGTGGCGTTACCGGTCAAAAAGGTGGAGGTTAGACTAGACTAATGGTTCCCCAAACCATGTCAGAATTACCTGAAATCCAGCCAACCCCCGCCCCCAACCTGGTGGATCAGAATCTCTGGGGTGAAGGGCCCAGGAATCTGCATTAGAAAAATCTTCACTGGTGGACCCTGATGCAGACGAGCAGTCCAGAAGACCAGCATGTGGGAACCCCAGGACTAGAAAGCTGATCTCAGAGACCCCATCTGACAGTCAAATTCGTGTTGTTTTCCTCCCTACAGCCCCCTTCTCACTCTGAGGATAGAGTATTGAAAGGTTAAAAATGAATTTTAAAAAGTTTCCTGCAGCAAGGGGCCCAAAGAGCCCAGGGCCCACGTCATTAGCCTTTGGCTGCCAGGAGAAGACACTCTCCAGGGATGCTTGATGCACTTAGTAGGTCCACAGATCCAGAAGAGGACATGGAAGGGCAGACTCAGGTGCTGAGCCTGGCTGGGGCACTGACCCATGTGTGACCGAGGTACTGGCTTAACTCCTCTCTGCCCTGGGTGTCCAAGTATGGACATGGTGGTGCTGAGGGCTGAGGAGGAAAAGGGTGACGTCACAGTCAAGGTGGGGTGGAGGGAGGGCCTGAGTGGCCAGGGAAGGCACACCTACCTGTACAATGGGGTTGTGCAGGTTCTTCTGAACTGGGCCGGGACTGTCGCCCTGTAGCCAAAGGAGAAGAGGAAGATGAAACAGCAAAGACACATAACACATGAGAGCAGAGGTGGCCTGTGGAGCATATGGGGTTTTCCATGGAAGGAAGCCATCCCTTAGGGACCACCCTGCTTCTGTACTGGGGAATCCACCCTCCACCCCTAAGTAGACACTTCCAAATGGCTCAATGATGACACCTGGGGTTCATGAAGATGCTGCCAGGACCAGGGGTCCTGGCCAGAGGCCCTGTGATGCTCTCCTGCCTGCTCTGGCTTCTTGACCCCTAACACCCTCTGACCAACAAATCAGTCACTCAAAGTCTTCTAAGTTCCTCTCCCAATTGGTCCAGAGTTAGAACTGAAGTTGGTTATACTTGGTGCTTTTCATAAAGAAGTATAATTTTATAGAAAAAATCAAAATAAAGAATTTTGGGACAGGAAGACTTGGGAGGCTATGCATCCTCTTATTTCCCCCACAAACAACACAATGAATCTCTTATTTTGTGGATGGCCAAAACAGGGCTCATTAGCCTGATTTATAGGTACACAGAGAGGTTCCAGACAGTCCAACATTATAGAGCTAATTAAAACCAGAGCTACAACTCAAATTCAAGACCGTCTGGTTCTCCCTGGTCTAGTGCTCCTTCCTATGAGTGTACAAAAGCCCTCACCACATCCCAGAATCAGTCTGTCCTGCCTGGGGGTGGGTACCATAGATCACTGGGATCACAAAAGTCATTACTAGGGAGACCCCTGGTGGTCACTTCCAGAATTGCAGGCAAAAGGCAAGAAATAAAGCGTGTGTCACCTGAGCCAATGTCCATCAATCTTCTCCAGCCTCTCTGTGCTGAGTCCCCACCTCTGCTCTAAATAAGTGACTAGAGCATGAAAGGATGGGGAGGTCCTTACTCCAGGTCAGGCTGTTCCTGCTGGTACCAGGCCAAATGCCTGAGCACAGACGGAGCTATTTTCAGGCTCTTCCTGGCTTACCTGTGTGCACATCTGTTGAGATGGGGGATGAAGGTGGTTGAGGGAGGGTGGGGATGGAACAAATGGTAGTTTAGTCTTTAGTCCCATCTCAAGGTTTGCAAACAGAACCTATTTGGCAGACAGCTGAGGTAGGTTGGCCCTGTACAAGGCCATCTTTGCCAAATTTATGGGGAAGAGAATGAGGCCAGAGCCCACTGAAATGCCTGTGTAGAAAACAGGCTTATCAAAGCACCCATTGTCTGGCACCAGGGCTCTGTGTAAAGTGAGCTTGGGAATAAATATGCTGGATCCGCTGCCTGTAGCCTCAGGTATGTGCCAAGGCCAAGTTGGGCAAAAGGCTAGGTCTGAGCCAGATGCAATTCAAAAGGCCTTTAAAGAACCCTTTCTGCAGAATGGATTTCCCAGCAGCATTTCGGCTGTCAAAGCCCCCGTGGGCCCCCCATGGGAAGACAAAGTATGGCCCTTGGGAAGGTATTCTCAGATGCTACAGGGTATCTAGCCCACACTAAGAACAAAGGGCACTGCTGGCTGTAGGTATAGCTCAACAGTGGTCCCTGAGAACAAGAGAGTAACGTCAGAGGCCCCTCTACTGGCCCACCTTCCTCGTCTTGGTTCTGTCAGGACAGCCTTTGTCACCAGGGTTCTCTCCTGGGAACAAGAGAAGAACAGATTGCTTCCTTAAAGCCCCAGTTAAAACAGAATCCGAGCCCCGAGCGGGATTCAGGCCTGAAGTGACCTCCTCCGCCTCCTGATGTGGCTTTGCGAGGCCCCGGCCAGCAGTCTCTGTTGTCCATGTCACCACGCTGAGGCAACTTACTTCAAATTCAGTCTTAGCTATTTTTTTTTTTTTTGGCGGTACGCGGGCCTCTCACTGTTTTGGCCTCTCCCGTTGCGGAGCACAGGCTCCGGACGCGCAGGCTCAGCGGCCATGGCTCACGGGCCCAGCCGCTCCGCGGCATGTGGGATCTTCCCGGACCGGGGCACGAACCCGTGTCCCCTGCATCGGCAGGCGGACTCCCAACCACTGCGCCACCAGGGAAGCCAAGTCTTAGCTATTTTTATTAAGTGCTCTTCATTGTTATTATAGATTTGGAAAAAAAAATGCTTCCATTGGGACTACTAATATAGAATAGTTACTGATTTTTATCAATTGATATTCTACCAGTACTGTTCTGTACTTCTCACTATTAGTCTAATGGCTTTTCTGGTTATTCTCTTGAGGTTTTCCAGGTAGATAATCATCCCACTGGCAAGTAATGGTTATCTTGTCTTTCTTTTGCACGATATCCACCTCATTTCTTGTTTATTATCCATCTCACTGGTTAATAAAACATTGACTGAGTTTTTGAGAAAGGCTTCCTGTGTGTCTGAGGACCCGACTCTTATCGTGTCTTTAGGACGCGGCAGGGGCGCCCTCTGGATTCTCAGTCGCGTGATGGAACACATGTGAAAAGTGGTCCCCACATCCTGACCCCAGTGTTTCACATTACAGCCTTGATGTGGCGTCTTCCTGTCCTCAGATGCTTGACCCACCTACCTTCGTTCACCCCCTCACTCCTGGGGAGCCTGCCTGTCCCACCAGCCATCAAGAGTTAGGTGGCTACGGACCTGTGCCTCTTGGTAGCTGGGACGCAGTATGAAATCAAAAACTGTAATTAAGTAAGCAAAGCAAACATAACTTAGAACAAATTCACCGGATGCCTCTTCAGAGGCAAAATGTGCAAAAACTCCTGGAGATTCAAAAAACATCCAGCTCATTCCTGCAGGACCAAGAGCTGGCCCTACAGGGAAACAGGGGTGGTGGTGAGGTCCTGAGCCCTGGAAGGTATGGTCTGGGAGGAGAAGCCTACGGTCCCAGACATAGCCCACCAGAGATAAGCCCAGGCTGCTCAGACCCTGAGGCCGACCCAGGCCCGCCATCCTCTGGATTTTCCTTGCCCTCCCGGACACAAGGAGCCAACAGGCCTCATTTCTTTCTCTCCCCACATCCATCTCTTCTTGCAAAAGGAAAGAACAGAACAGGAAATGCCTTCGCCAGAATGCTTCCTGGGTGGACGAGAGGAAACAGCTGGTAGGTCTTCACCCCCTCCACTCCCACCCCTGCGGTTTCCGGGCGGGGCCCAAGGCCCAGGCCCTGCTGCTGCTGGCCTTACGTTGCAGAGGGAGTGCGTCCGGTGTCGAGGGGAGTTGATGTCGCTTGGCGTGGACGACCGGTCGCCTTCGGCGGCAGATGCGTCGGAGATGACGGAGGGCTGCCGTGAGTGGCAGGGGCTCACCCTGACCGCTGGAAAGCAGGGACAGCTGGTGAGTGGGGGACGGAGAGAATGTCCTTGCCTTCACTGACCTGCAGGTCAGTCCACCCAATGCCCCCATTATACAGATGGGAACACTGAGACATAAAGAAGAGACTTGCCCAGCTCTCCACCCCTCTATTTCACAGCCCCATGGGTCACCAGAGAGCCACTGCCAGCAAGAAGCTCCAGCCTCTGGATCCAATTAGGCCCCCTCCTAACCAGGGTGAAGGAGAAGGGGCAGAAGTCTCCAGGGGCCTCGGTGACTGTCCTCACAGTGCTCCAACCACCTGGACGTTCCCTAGGCCTGGTGCAATCCTAACCCATGGTCAGTACCAGCTTCCCAAGAGAGAAGCTGTGAGGCTACCACCGGCTCCTCTTTCTCCCACCCCCTCACCTCACACCCGATCCGCAGCAGCACCTCCAAACACAGCCCCAAATCTGGCCACTTCTCTCCAGCCCCACTGCCACCACCCAAGCCCAGACCACCACCGTCTCTTGCCTAGAAGACCATGGCGGCCTCCCAGAGGGCCTCCCTGCTTCCTCTCCTCACTGCCATGAGAGCCAGGCATCCGGTCTCTCTTTACCTTGGGGTAGATACGTGCGGTCCTCCTCCAAGCCGAGGGGATACAGCCCTGCCCACCCCAACAGCCTTGGCTCACGTCACAGCAGCTTTCTGATGGTGCCTGACACGCACCATCTCCCTCCTGCCTCACCCTTCGCTGGCCCTGCCGCCCATCAGGCACATTCTCAGCCTTCAAGCCTCAGCCTGTCCCGAGAGAAACCTCCCCCTATTATCAGCTCTCCCCACTGTCTTTTCTTTCCCCAAAAAGCACCTGTTTTCCGTTGATTTCTCTCCCTGCACTGAATATAATCTGTAATCATTCTTTATCAGTTTAGTTACATGTGTTTTCTGTCTTCACACCTACAATGCCAGCTTGGTGAATGCAGGCAGTCTGTGTGTCTTAGCCATGTCCAACCCCAGAGCTCACAGCGCCTGGTGTGCAGTAGGTGCTTAATCAATAGTAGATGAATTCCTGGAAGCCCACCCAAGTCCCCCAGCAGAGTGCTCTCCTGCCTGCAGGCGCTGGATGGAGGAAGCACTTTCTGCTCGGTAAGACTGAGGACCTACTGTGTGCAGGCAGCATGTGAGCAGGGAGGGCTACATTACTGAGAAAGACAGTCCTTGCTGCCAATGGCCATATGGTCATACGGAGGAGTGTGGGGCTTTGGAGTCAGGGACTTGGGCTCCCAGCTAGGTGACGGCAGGACCCACAGGCTCCAGAAGCCAGCTGCCTGTCTCCAGCCTGCATCTGTCACACAAATACGACCACTCGTAGGAGGGACAGAAAATGGAGCCAAGTGGGCTGCAGATGTACAGAGGAGTTTGGGGCTTCTACTGTGGCCCATGGGTACAGATGCTGACCACAGGCTGGGCCCCTCTTCCCCTCAGTGCCTGCAGCAAACACCCCTAACACTTATTTCTGCCCCTCCCACACACCCAGTGATTACCTGGAGCTGTCAATCAAGGAGCTCTCACTGTCTCCTCTGCCAAAGGAGGCCCATGTGACCTAGACTGGGGAATCAGTGCATCCACTGCCAGACACAGTGATTGGCCCAGAGGTAGACATGTGACCCTGGCTGGCCAATCAGAGTCCTTCTTTGGGATTTACTATACACACAGAGAAGGATTTCTCTTTCTCAAGACTTTTGAGCTTCAAGGGCCCTAAAAGCCTGAAACTGCTGGAGACTGTTTTCTTCTTTGTGAAGAGAGGTGGCCTAAAGGTGAGGTGGAATGGAGGCAGGCAGAGCTGAGAGATGGAGAGAGTCAGACAGACCCAGGTATTGTCTGAACCCTCGTATCCAGCTATGCCTGAGGTCCATCTCTTAGACTTTTCAGTCCCCTGAGCCATGGCCTCTGCCCTACACCCCCCTAAAAGCAGCTATAGTGTGAATAAAGAGACCGCCCCTCCCAGTGGGCCAGATGGCCTCCTGAGACACCCCCGGAGCTGTGGCTGGGCCAGACTCACCTTGCCGGTCCCCAGGGTGGGGGGGGTGTGAGTGGTAGAGAGTCTGCTGGCTCTGCCGGATGGCTGCGGTCAGTGGGAGGTCCGCCTGCACCACCCACTCCTGGTTGCCATTAAGCACCGTCTCGCCCGGCATGGCGAGTGAATGCCGCTTGGGGACATCCTTGGTCAGCGTGGCTAAGGACTGCTTGGCCTGGAGAGAGAGCCGGGGGACAGGAAGAAGACGACGTGATCAAGGGGACCTCTCGGCCTACTGCTTGGCCATCACCCACCATCGTGAGAAAGCCACGAATCCAACCTCTGTGCCAGGGTGTCTCTGGCTCTGCACTGTGTGCCAATCAGTACCTCACATGAGGGTTTGCTTTGGGGTTAGTTACCCCTCAGTTCCTGCCAACACAAAGGGAGAACACAAAGGGGGACCGAGGACACACTTAGCACCCATTCTTTCGGGTTCTCCAAGAACCAGCTGGGACTTGAATGAGATGGTAAGAAAATGGTGTTTTGCCTTTCAGCACCTTACCTCCTCCCAAATTCAACCTCCGATGGCCCCTTCACAAGGTGCTGTGCAACACAGGCTGGGGATAGGGCAGACCCCAACCTGGCTCTCAGGATCACATGAGAATACGTGGGACACAAGGAAAGCCAGGCACAAGCAATGGGGCTGAGTTCAGGCAGGTGGGATAGAGAGCTCTTCCTTTCTCTGCCCTGTGCCTGAGGTCTCTCCCCAGCTTTGGATTATCTTCCCCAGGGTATGTGGGGTTGTATTAGAAGTGATCTCAAATTATTTGGGGGAGAAAAAGGGTACATATTAGAAATGTATTAATGCATATTCTTTCTTTCATAGTCAATTTCCACTTCCGCACTAGCTCCCCAGGCTCAGGTCAGGTCAGGGGAGAGGGGGCACACGTGGCAGGGCCCAAGGGCCTCGCACTGAGATTTCCAGTGAATCTGGGGGTCACTACAGATGGCAGAGCCACCATGAGTGCTGGTTTTGCCCCTGAAATGAACACAGATGAAATGGAAAAACCTCATCTCATCTCTCTCCTAGCTCCAGAACTTTCGATACCTCCCCCAAGGCCCTGGGCTCCTCCATGTAGAGCAGAGGTCCTTGAGAAAGAGATTCTAGCTGAGAAATGAAGTTCTTGACCTAAAGCCTGATATACCCTCATCACATTAACCAGCTGTGTCATTTTAGACAAGTCACTGCCTTCTCCGAGCCTTACTTTCCCCATCTGTGTAATGAAAAGCCTAGACCAATCTTTAGGGCTCCCTCTAGCTTGGATACCCCAGGAGTCTATGAAATCACTCCCCTTCCACTGCCAGACCCCAGGGAATATAAACCCATATGGCAGAGGGAGGCCGAGTTGGAGTCAGCCCCCCGCCCCCAAGCCAGGTAATAATCTCTGCCTGGTTTAGAAAAATATCACGTGCTCAGTGCAACAGCCCTGGGTCTCAAGTAGGGAGTGTAGGATTAGCTGTGCTTGACAGAGGAGAAACCAGGAACTCAGAGAGGTTAAGTGATTTCTCCAAGCGTGCACAGCAGGCACAATGTCCAAGTTGGGGCCCAAGTCTGGGAGCCTGGGAGCCCCATGTGGTTTCTATGGTGCCCACGCTCCTCTGGGGCAAGGAAATAACCAGCACAAGTGATGCAGACTCTGAATCCACGAGGCAGAGAGTGGGCCGTGGCTGGTCACCACGGGATCCCCAGCACCTGGCTTGGGGCTGGGCACATTCAGTGAAGCACTCAGTAAAAATCTGCAGAGGAAATGGAAGCAGGCTTCTGCCACGTCCAGGCGGACGGCCCAGGGAAGCAACTCTGTTAGTTTACTACAGGAACAGTGGAGCGATCCTTCAGCAGGCTGGCTGTGTCTTGGAGCTGCCATGTGCCTGCTGCAGGTCCAGTGTCACGGACTCATGTTTCCTGGACCACTGCATCTCACTCGGGACCACATCTGCTCTCCCCTCCAGGTGTCTGTGCATCTGGCCTCCGAGCCCTCCATCCTGGCACCGCTCCATGCGGGCAGCTGCCCCACTCCCTTGCTTCCTCCTGTCCAATCCATCTTGGCTGCCAGGAAGGTGGACTTGGGTGGGAAATGAGCGCCCAGTCGGTCTGCCATCATGCTAACTAACCCTCAGCTCTGCCCTCTTGCAGATATCCCCAGCCACACATGTGGAAAGCACAGGCAAGTCCAAGTCGCCCACTGAAATAAGCAGCCCCTTGAGGCAGCACAGGAAGGCACGAGGAAGAGGCCTGGGCAGGACTGCTCTCCTGTCTGCACCTGGCTTCCTTCTTCCAGGTGGATCTCCCCTCGGTCTGGGCCTGAGAGCGGCACCTTCTAACTCAGCAGGTGGCTTGGCATCATCGCTGCCTGACAATGGGGAGGAGCCTATGGTTAGTCCTGCAGGATGGGGCAGGTGTGCCTGTGAATTCTGAGCACAGGAACCTCTCACAAACTGTCCACTCATGAGTTTAAACCTCTGAGACAGAGCGAAACAGAGACGTGAACTGCAGACAAGGCACGTAAGGTCTAACTTAAAACACGTGCATGTACTCTGTCTGTCTGTCTGTCTGTCTGTCTGTCTCTCTCTCTCTCTCTCTCTCTCTCTCTCGTTGCTGCATTGAATCATCTTCCTGTGACAGTCTGCACAGCATGTCTCTACTAATCTCTTCCATTAAATGCAATTCAATGCTGGGAGTTCCCTCTGTGCCTCCACCCCCTGCTGAGAACCCTGAGCCCACAGTTTTGAGCTCCTGGGAATTGGAGAATTGGCTCAAACACCCTCATGTGACAGAAGTCAGACAGAACTGGGTTCAAACTCCACTTCTACTATTTGACTTGCTGTGTGATCTGGAGCAAGTTACTCCACCACTCTGAGCCTCAAGGTCCTCACAGTAAGATGGGGAACTGAGAGGGATTACTTTTATAGGTAAGTTGTGGGATGAGGCAGCCCGGCACAGCGCCTCGGAGCCTAGGCTGTGGCATCCAATGGCCTGGATTTGATCCCAGCTCTGCCACTTCCTAGCTGGGGGATCCTAAGAGAGGCCCCTCACCTCTCTGTGCCTTCATGTCCTAGTCTGTCTGATGGGGATAACATGGGTTCCATGGAGAGCGCTTAGCCGATGGTAAAAAAAAAGCTCAATGAATGCTGGTGACTGCTGTTATGAAACAGTTTCCATTTCACAAGTAGGAGTCAGACATGGAATAATTCACATGAAAGCCCAGGATACTGTCTGGTCTATTGTCCTGTTCAAAAAGTAGCAGTCTGTTAGGATTACTTATGCCTCCCTGAGATCAGACAATCTGGGAAGTGGAAAGGGAGAGTGGCACGGGGGCCCTGCCCTCCCCCACCCTCAGGTTCCTAGCTGCCTGGAGGCCAGGATGTACTTCCAGTCAGAGAACAGGCCTGGCCCCGGAGGGATGCTGTGAGTGTGGCTAAACGGAACCCTTTACCGGCTTTCCAAGGAATTTGAGCTTGGCTAGGGAACGTCTCTCCCACCAAAGGCGGGGAGGATCCTGGGGCAGGAACCTTCCAAGCAAACACGAGAAGGGTCGTGCTCCTGTGGACTCCAGCTGCAGAGACGCTGCATCTGCACCAAAGGAGCATGACGCCAGCTACAAGTTGACTCCACCATCCTCTTCCTGGGCTTACTGGCCGCGACCCTGTCCCAGATCTCAGGCTGCAGTAGTCACAGGTCCAGCATGGAGGTGCCAGCATGATCTGATGAGGCAATACTGGCTCCATACCATCTCCAACAACCACAGGCCCGGGAGTGGAGGGAGACTCTTGGGGGACAATGTCGGGCTCGGGTGGGCCCTGACCTCATGTGTGTGGCCAGGGGTCTGAGCTCAGACCCAGTGTTCAGAGCTGGCTGTGGGCCAGGGCTGGTCTGCTGGGCCAGGATGGCAGTGGTCCGGGGCCGGGAGGTGTGCTTGTGTGGCCAGCTGGTTTCCTCAGAGAGAGGGCAGGAGGGGTGCCAACCCAGAGCATGGCCGTTAAAAAACAAACCGCGATCACCCTTGACCCCTGCCGCTCGACCCTGCCTCTCGCTGGTCGCTCACCGCGCCCTACTCCTGCCTGGGCCTGTGGCGGCTGTCACTTTTACAGACGAGGAAACTGAGGCCCAGGCAGCTCAAGGACACAAAATGACTGGCTAGTGGACGGGACGTGAGAATCCACGACTCCTGGTCCCGGGGTGGCCTGAGGACAGGCTGGTCTCCAACACCAGTAACAACAGCTAACGTCCGCTGAGTGTGGATGGTGAGCCTGCCCCAATTTCCCGTCACCTCACCTCACAATCACCCCAGGAGGAAGGTCTTATACGTATGAACACAGGCTCAGAAAGGTTAAGTCACTTGTCAAAGATCACACAGCCAGAAAACGCAGGACCCCAACTGGGGCTGTGTTAGAACTGCATGGCCAGGGCAGAGACAGACACTGAGACAAGGGAATCCCACACTTTACAGAGGAGTGGTTCGCAACCGGCGTGAATTCTCTCCCTCTCCAGGGAACACTGGGAAATGTCTGGAGACTTTATTCCCCACAGTTGGGAGGCACTACAGGCATCTCGTGGGTGGAGGCCGGGGATACTGCTGCACACCGCACAGTGCACAGGACGGTCCCACGACAGACTTCTCCGGCCCCAAGTGTCAACAGTGTTGAGGGTGAGAAGCTCTGTCTACAGTGTACATAGTAACGTAAGAACTGTCTCCCATTTTGGAGAACGTTGGTAGAAAACTAGGTCACCAGGAACCAGGCTCCTGGGGGAGGGAGTGGACAGGACTAGCACGTGGGGGGAGCCTGTGATCTCGGGGCTGGCAGCCCTGTCTCCCGCCTGCTCAGTGACTGGACAGGCCACTGGGGAAGGCCTGAGGGATAAGCGATGGCTGGTAAGAGGACCCAACATCTGGGTGTCCTTTCAGAGGCCTCCCATCATGGAGCACGGGGACTGCCCACCTCCCAGCTCTGCCTCTCAACTCTCTGGGCAGCTCTGGGTGAGCCTCCTGCACACTGAGCCTGTTTCCAAATCTGTAAAATGGGCACAACAAGAATATATAGCTCACTGGAGTGACTGCTAATGGATATGGGTTTATTAGAGTGATGAGATGGCTCTGGAATTAGATAGTGGTGACGGTTGCACAACTTTGTGAATGTGCTAAAAGACACTAAATTTACACCATAAAAGGACGGATTTTATAATATGTGAATTATATCTCAATGAAACAGCATATTGAAAATTTTTTACTTAAAAAAAAAAAACAAACCACAGGGTGGTCTCCACAGAGCCAGTGTGGCTACAGAGGTGAAACTGCTCCATGTGTGGTAATGCCTAGTTCGGTCAGAAGTTGTTATCAGGAAATGTCCCCTCCCCAAGGGTTGGAGCCCATCAGCAAGCACCAAGAGAGATGTTTGCTTCTTGGGAAGCCAATGTCCTTTGACTTTTACTCGAGTGAAGCGGCCCTTTTCAGCTGCATAGGGTGTGTGGAGACCCAGCGGAGGCTGGGTTGGGGAAGGGTAATGCCTGAATTGGGGCAGGGCCTGCTCACCCCTCACCAGGAAGCTGCGCCATGGCTTCCGTGTTGTGGGCAGGTCACTTAAGAAATTACCTATCACCAGTGCCACAGCCAGAACTCCTAGATCAGGAGTAAGCAAGTGACCCCAGATGGACCACTTGAACACCCCGTACTTGATCAGACTTTTGAAAACTGAAGTGAAATTCAGAGGGCAAAGGGTTTGGGTTCATCTCCTCCAGCAGGGGCCACTGAGTGGACCATTCCAGATGGAATCCTGGCTTCCCCACTCCCTGCGGCTGCCTTGGCTTCGGCCCATTTCCAAGCCTGGCCCTCCACCTTCCCACTGCACCTGTGAGCTCCTGACTTCCTTCCAGTGCACCCTGTGTGCTCAGATAGCCCGAGCTGCTTTCTGTTGCTTGCAACCCGAGGACCTCAGGCACACACGCAGGGAAGGTACCTTCCCTCTAGTCTCATCCTGGCCAGCAGTGCAGTGAGGGGAGCTGGACAACACTGCCCGGAGCCGGCAGCCCTGGAAGCCTCCAGGCTGTGAAATTCTGCAGATGGCGGTCAACAGAGGGGACCTCCAGGCAAGTGGACACCCCACCAACACCGGGGCTCTCATAGGCTGTGCCTGTGCTGACGTTACAGCAAACCCACCACCCTGAGCTGCAAACATTCACCTAACTATTCACACTTAGCAGAGAGGCCTGATGCCTGCCAGAAGGAGGGGGAAAGAACCTGAGTTTCGCTGGCCAGAACTAAAGCAGGTCGAGTTGTCCGGGCATATGGTGAGAGTGGAAGCAGAGGTGAGCTGGCTCCCAATCCTGAAAGACCCCAGAATTCCCCAGGATGCTTGAGGTTATTGGTCCATGGCAAGGAAGAACCATCTGTCCGTCACAGGACGCTGGGAAGACTCGGGAGAATAAAGGTCTCACCTCACCCTGCACTCCCTTCCCAGATGGTCAACTTGAAAGGTTTCTGTCTGGGCTGCACGCGGCAGCAGGGCCGCCAGCACTACCGACCCCACTGGTGGGAAGACCCCAGAGAGGAGACCCAGCAGCTGGAGCTTCCTCCAGCCTGGGCAGCTCTCACCACTAGGGGTCAGCATTGGACAAGGAGACCCAGGAGGCAGAGAGTGGGATTGGTCCCAGGAGCGGCCCACAGATCCTGACTTGCCCTCGGTGACCCCTGCTCCTGAAGCAAGTGACCATAGAAAACCTCCCTCTTGTCATATCATCACTCACCATGTACAGGCCGGGCTAAGTGCTTCTCTTGCATTATTTCATTGAAATCCTCACAAGAGCCCTATGGGATATATGCATTTACCCTTATTGACACTTGATGGAACTGAGGCCCAGACAGGGGAAGGGTCCTGCCCAAGGTCACACAGCTAGACAGCGATGAGGGCTGGATTCAAACCCAGCATCAGTGCTGCAGAGAACGCTGAGTTCTCACTAAGAAACATGCGGCTCCCCCCACCTTGGGAGTTCCCTGCACACTCTCCGCCCAGCCACCACCACATTGAGCCACGGTGGTTTCAAAGGCCCTTTAAGCCACGAGCTCTCTAAAGTTGATCAAACATCTCTTGGGAAAGGCAGAGTGGGATAAAGACCCTCACCCCCACCCCAGGACCAGATAAAGGTCACTGAAGCTCAGAGAAGTTCAGTGAGCAGACCAAGGTCACAGAGGAGCAGGTAGAACAGAACTCCAGGGCTCTGGACCTCAGTTCTGCTGACAGGCCAGGCCTGGAAACACCACCTAGACTCTCTGTCCCCACATGCAGGCTGCCCATCTCTGAGGAAAACACAGTGGAATTATTTTGAGGGATTTTTTTGGATTAGAAAAAAACATTTTTTTTCCTTGAGGACCCAAGTAATATAATAAGACTGATGAAAATAGGCGGAAAAAAAGGAAATAAAAGCCACTTGTGATCTTACTACCCAGAGATAACCAACATTAATTTTTTGGTATTTTTCCTCCCAAAGGCTAGTGGATGGTTTCCCAGCATCCCTCACACGCTCGGCCCCAGGCAGGTGGATGAAAGGTCGTGTGGTTGCCGCGAACAAGCAGAGGGGGCATCCCAGACCCCGCCCCGGCCCCCGCTCGGCTCCGCCCCTGAGGACTCCACTCTGGACTCCCAGGTGAGCCCACGTGCGCTCCCTGTCTCCCAGCACATGACATCACTTCCGGCAGATGCCCCACCAGGCCTGGGTGGGTGAGGGGGTGGGGTCTCACCATGGCCAGCTCCGCCTCCAGCTCCTTCATGCGGTTATCCTTGAGGTCCAGCTGGGAGCGCAGCGCCGTGGCGTGGTCCGTGGCCTCCTTGGCTTGGCGCCGCAGCTCCCACTTCTCGCGCTCCAGCAGGTCCTTCTCCTTGGCCAGGGCTTTGACGGCGTCCTCGCTCTCCTGTGGGGAGAGGCCAGCGCTACAAGGGGCGCGGGCGCAGTGTGCGGGCGCAGGGCGCGGCCTACCCTTGGCCCAGGGGGCCTTGACCCCCAGACCAGAGGAAGCGCAGGGAGGCCCCACAGCACCGCAGGTGGCCGGGCGCTCGGGCCCTGGAGGAAGAAAGCCCTGGGTTCGAGCCTGGCTCTGCCACAAACTAGCTGGGAGACTGGAACAGAGACAAACTGTTAGTAGATGCTCAGCCGTTATTGTTTTCAATGGATAAATGAGCAAACAAATGTCCTGGGTAAGTTCTTTTAACTTATCAAGTCTTCATTTCTCCATATTTAAAATGGAGGGGGAATCAATACCCCTCATTTCAAAGAACTGTTATAAAGACTAAATGACTTCATTTGAGGGAAATAGTTCAATGGAGCCTGATAAAAGTTAGGGTCATTAGTGGGTTTGGGCCTCTGTTCTGCTGTTTGGTAACGTGTGTGTCACAGGAAAACAGGGACAGAGGAGGCACCTGCAGCCCACCTGCCTTGGCTGCCACAGGGCCCTGCCACCATCCCACAGGGTCACAGCCGACGATGGGACAGGCTGGACCCCCAGCTAGCTGTGGTGTCTGAATGCAGCACAGTCCTCTGCCCGTCACCCCGGCCCCAGCTCCTGGCTGGTCCTCCTGCATAAGCTGTTTTCTCCGTGATGCTGAGGCGAGGGCCATGATCTCCAGCTGTGCTGGTCCAGCAGAGCCAGCAGGCAAGGAACAGCCGGCTGGATCGGGGGCCTGACCTCTGTTGGCAAGAGCCAGTTTCAGGACACCAGGCGTCTTTCCCCCAGAGGAAGGGTCTCTGCAGGGGGCCCTGCCCACCCACCCAGCCATGGTCTTCCCATCCACCAAATCGAGAGCCAAGCTCCAGGTCTCTGTGCAGCCTGGGACCACGTTGAGAGGCAACCATCCTGCCTTGTCTAACAGCCCTGTCGCCGAAGGCCTGACTTCCAGATGGCCAGAGACTAGGAGGCCAAGGTCTGGCCCTTTCACATGGCTGTCACAGAGCTGGAGCTGTGGCTTAGGTCCCTGGGAAAGAG